CTCACACAGCACGCATCATCAGGGTGGGGTGTGGGGAGGAGAGGGAGAGAGAGGCCGTTGGCCTCCCTGGGAATGGCCCAAGTTGTAGACTTCCCTTGTTCCTGGAGGTTTCAGCATATCCCACAGCACAGTGAGGGGGTAATCGTCAACCTCACGCCTCAAACAAGGGCCCTGAGGCTTAGAGAGGTGAGGTGACCACAGGGTATCAGTGAGGCCAGGGACAGGGTCCAAGATCCTACCCCCACTGGCCCAACAGACCACAGTAGGCCCTGAGCCCCAGAGACCCACATAGCAGGGAAGGGCACCCATCCCCCTAACCCCAGCAGCAGGCCAGTATGCTCTGGGATCCCTGACACCCACAGCTCATTGTCTTCAGCACAAGCCTTCTTCTGTTCCCTGGGCTGGCTGAGGTGGTCCCTGGGTCTGGCAGCCTTGGGCTTGGATGTGGGTTCTGCACCCCTCTCCCCAAGTGGCTAGGTAAGCTGACTACCCACTCTGAGTGTCCCCCTCCAGTGGCATGAGGATGATGATGGGCCGGCACCCACCTCCCGGGGGCCCCAAGAAACTTTCAGCCTAGAAACTCCACTGAACACCCCCACCCAGGCCCCTGCTCTGCGGCCAGTGGCCTGCCTCCCCAGAAGATAGTGTAGGGCCTCTGCTGGTCTGATCTAGTCAGCCCCATCTCAGGGGAGGAGCCCAGGGAAGTGAGGCCTAGGCTCAGAGGTGGTATCCCGGAGCCACACTGATCATCCGCTTCCAGCAGTCTTGAGGCTACCCCAGCCTGGCCTGATGGCCCTGCTTCATGTAGGAGAGGCTGTATCTGGTGGGAGGAGGGCCCAGCAGCCTGGCTGTGCTGCAAGCATGCCTACAGCCACTTCCCCCACCTCCCCCAAGCTCAGCCTCAGCAGAGAGCACAGATTCGAAGACAGGCCCGGAGCCCAGCAGACTGACTTGCTTCATGGAAAGACCCCTGACCGCACTCAGTACAGAGTCAGGTCGCTGCTGCCTCTTAGGCAACATTGGAACACTTGGTAGTCCCCTTCCCTGCCCACACACCACCCACCTGTTCATCCCCCTGAGACCCACAATGATGGGGATGGGATATGTGCTAAGAAGGGCAAAGCGCGTGGCAACAAGGCTGCTCCCCCTGAAGAAACACCCAGGTTCCTGCCAGGTTGCCCAAATCCTGCCGGTCAACAAGCCCCACTCTCAGCAGAGCATCTGACCAACTTTAGGGCTTCCCTAGTAAATGTGACTAGAAAACCAGGCATCTGGAAAAGTTGCCAATGGAGATGAGAGGTAAAATGGCCCCAGAGGAAGCAGAGACAGTGTGGGGAATAGATACAAGTTAGGAAAAAAGTCTAATTAGTGTCCTCATAGGGATAGAAGAAGATTTAAAACAAGAACAGGGTGCTACGAACAAGGAGCCATCGGAAAAGAAGAAGAGTGCCTGGAAGCTAAAAATAGAATTGCTAAAATTTTTAAGAAATCAATAGAAGGGTTAGAAAACAAGGTCAAGGAAGTCTTACAGAAAGAAAAACAAAGAGAGAAAGATAGAGGAGTGGTGGAAATGATGAGATCAGAAGACAAATATAGGTCCAACATCTGTCTTACAGGAGCTTCAGAAAGAGAAAAGAGAGGAGGAAAAAAGTATCAAAGAAATAATACCAGAAAATCTCCTGGAGCACAACTGGCCCTCCACTGGGCAAGCGCCCAGCACAATAGATGACATTCACAGTGCAATTTCAGGCCTCTGAGGGTCAAGAGACTCCTGAAGCGCCAACAGGAAAAGCAACGTGGCATCAGATTTCTCCAGAGCACACTGGACACCAAAGATGACAAAAACTACAATGGCTTCAAAATTCTGAGGGGAAACTACTTTCAACATGGAATTCTAGAACGGGGCAATGGAGCTTGAATAGATTTGCTAACATTCCAGGACTCAGAATGATTCTTCACTGTGCCTTCCTTAGAGAGTTAGTTGGGGACGGAAACCCAGAAGGAGGAAAGCGTAGGGCTCAAAAAACATTGGGTGGTGAAGGGAAGGCCTGGGCAGCTGTGAGGGGTCCACAGCATGCCTGGCCCAGGTGGGGACAGCAGGACAAAGGCCGGGGTGAGACCTCCCTGGGTTAAAATAAGAGACCCAGTAAAACACTTGACATGGAGAAGAGTAAGCACATGAAGGTGGTAGAAGGGACAAGAGAAAAAAAGAAAGACAAAGTCTACTGTCAACTCTAAGGAAAACAAAAGGCTACAGAAGGGTGGGAAGGTCACCATAGTACCCCCGTGGCTGGGCTGGAAAGAACATTTATGTGACCTGGGCTGTGAAACACTGGTTATGAATTTACCTGACAGTAGCAAGACAGCCACACTGGGGAGTATGCTGGAAAAGAGAGGGCTGGGGTAGGAGCCACAGAAATGTGAAGGTAACCACACAGAAAATTGAGAAACAGGGCAACGGTGGCTGTGTTTCCAGGACTGCAAGCAGATTCTCTAGACCCGCCTCCAAGGGCTGGGTACAGGTTTTAACTCTGAGCAAGACATGGCTGACCACAGTGTTAACCTTTTTCAAAAAGACTATGTTTGGCACTGAAGCCTCAAAGACAGAGATAAATAAGAAGAAAATAAAGTGCATCTGCCAGAAGGTGGAGACGAATGTGGGTCAGAAGTAGGTGCTTCCAAGGTGCAGGAGAAAACGGGGCTGTGAGAGCTCCTGCAGTGTTGTGGTGCCTGGCCAGGCATCTGGTGCAGGGACAAGGCCCTGCATTGCTCCTCTTTAACCCCTGTTCAGCCGAAGGTGGCCAAGGATGCCCCTGATCCCCAGGGATGGTCCAGAAGCCTCTGAGATCCAGACGCTGGAAGGGAAAGCTTCCAGTCTGAGAATCCATCGATGTGCTCTCGAGGCTTCCATGGCCCCACCACCACCAGGCAGCCACTTCCCCCGGCCCCTCCTCACCTCTGCCCTGCTCCTAGCTCACAGATCCGAGACCCCCACCTCAGGTTGAGGATGTTCAGGAGCAAGGGGCCCAGTGGATAAAACTAGCAGGGGGGGGGGCGCCTGGGCTTGTGGCTCCTTGGAGAGGGCTCACCCTGGCCTTGGCTGAGCACAAACAGGCTTCCCTTGGCTTCTATGAGTCCCAATCGCGTCTCTGCAACGGAACCCGTGGCGTTCAGGCAGGGGCGATGTGAATAAGTAATTGCTCTTTTATTAACGAGTGATAAATTATTCCTATATGATTGTGTGTGATAACTCTTCTTTATTTGAAATCAATTTGGGATGGAAATTGTTGGCGGCTTCTCACCAGCGAGGGTGGGAGAAGCTAGGCGCTGTTGCCTCCTGGAAAACAGGTCAGTCACTCACTGTATTTCTGCTACTTCCTGAGGCTTGATGCACCTGGCGCTCCTGTCTGCAGAAGGGGGTCGGCTGCCCTGGGGGCAGGGCCAGGAAGGGTGGCCTCATTTCCTTAGCATCTGCCCTGAGGACGGTTGAGGGGTCAGCGCAGGTGCCCCAGCACAGCCTCTTCCCACCTGCAACACCTCCCCCGAAGCTTCAAAAGAAGCCTGGCCTACCCCACCCAACCCCACTGGACCCAGGGCACAGACGCCCCTGGAGCCAAGAAAAGATCAGACTGGGAGAGGAGCCCCCAAAGCCCAAGGCTTTGCTGGGGCCCACCCAAGGCACTAGCACCCATTCCTGGGCTGTCAGGGGTTGGGCCATCTGAAGGCCACATTCTACTCACTCCCCCAGGAACCCCGGGGACCAGGGCAGCCTGATCTTTCACCTCACAGAGGACCCCGCTAGCCTCCCCGACATCCCTGCCCAGACTGACCACGGCTTGACTTTATTAAGCCTGAAAAGGCATTTGCTTTTTCCTAAAGATTTCACCATACACCGCCCCCATCCCCCTTCCTTCCTCTTCTAGTCCAACACGAGGGTCCCCGGAGTGAGCAGAGGCCCAGGTCAGACAGACCTGGTCCCCTGCCCAGTGCCCCTGGCAGGCCCAGCCTACTCAGAACAGTGCCATTGGCCCAGGCCTCAGCACCTTTCCTGGTTAAGGCATCCTTAAAACCCTGCAACCCACTGGGAAAGCTGCCAGCTGCTTCCCTCCCCGGCCAGGCCCACAGGAAGCCAGATCCCACCCATTCGCCCTCACCTGCTCCTCCCCCAGCCGCCTCCCTGCTACCCCAGGGCTGGGTCACCCCCTAGCCCAGCCACTTCACTCAGCTCAGGCACTGTCCGTGACTTTGGCCTCTCAGGCCTGGGTTTCTCATCTGTGAGATGGAAGGTTGGGTCTGAGAACCTGACAATCCCCGCGGGGTGGTGGGGGGGGGTGAGCACTTTGGTGGACCCACCCCAGGATCCCTTACTGCCCACCTCCATCCACTGCCAAGGAGCCCACTTCACCCCATACCTCGCTGATCCACTTAGCAGGTGCCTGTGCTGCTTGTTTGTCTGTCGCCCCCTAGGCTGTGGGTTCCGTGAGGGCAGGACCACAGCTGGTGAGCAGCACACAGTGGGCGCTCCATCAATGCTTGTCATAAATGTAAGAAACGCTCACCACTATCGGCAAGTTGCAGGCGTTTTGAGGCGGTGCAGACAGCATTCCCCAAGGATGTTCAGGCCCAGGAGAGTGTATAGGGCACTAATCAGGCGATTAAGTTTTAATGAGGTCTTAAGGGTGGGGTCCCATGATGAGATTGGAGCCCTTATAAGAAGAGATGCAGGAGAGCTGGTTTTTCTCTCTCCGGGTGAGGACCCAGCCAGGAGGTGACTGTCTGCAAGCCAGTCAGTGAGCCTGCATCAGAACCTGACCCTGCCGTACCCTGTTCTCACACTTACAGCCTCCAGAACTGTGAGGAAAAAAATTTCTGTTGTTTAAGCCACTCCATCTATGGTATTTTGTTATGACAAGCCTGAGCTGATTAACATAATTTCTTTTTTAAAACTGGTATATTTTTCCAGATTTTCTACAATGCACACAAACCAGTGAAATCAGAAGTGTTTTTAGTTCATTTTATTTGGTCTCGTGTGCCGACACTGGATGGGGCAGCTCTGTACTGGAAAGGGTGGGTGAGGCCATTCTCCGGGAGCGGGATCCCCTTCCAAAGAGCCTCGAGCCGTGGGGTCCTGGCCCAGGGCTTTGGGCACTGGCTGTGCCTCAGTGGGGCCTCAGGCAGGTCTCCCAACCTCGGGACCATTCCCTCACCTGGAGAATGGAGATAATAAGATCCACCTCACAGGGTGTAGAGCGGCCACACAACTCACAAGGGTGGGGCACAGTGGGTGCACAGGAAATGCCCAGGCCCCTCGCCTTGAGGGAGCATCTCATGTCACCCCCAGCAGAGACCACTGTTCCAATATAAGAGAGGGAGGTCAAGTCACAGCTAGAAAGGGCATGCTGGCAACTGACCCAGGCTTACTTCAGGCCCTGACCCTGGCACACTGGGCCCTGCCTTTGCTCAGGTAGCCCCCCATCTGGAATGCCCTCCCTATTCCCAGACGCACGCCTTTAGAAGGTCTCTTCTCCCCAGAGCTCCACCACGTCACCTCTCAGAGGCCGGACCCTTCTCAACCCATTCCTCTCCCACACCACAGCCTTGCCAGAGGCATCCATCCTGACTCGCTCTGACCCCTGCCTCAGCCCCGATGGGGCCACTGAGGGGGCAGGTGCACGAGCAGAGCCCGTGGAGCTTGGCTGGGGTCACAGCTCATGGGCTCCCACCATGAGGTACTCAGCAGGAAAGAACACTCATGAGGCCCGAGGGGTCCTGCATAAGTGATAGCAGGTGGGTCTTGAACTCACTGGGGCCTCAGGACAATGTGGGGATAGTGAACACACTGTTGGCCACCTGCAGCCACAGCCACAGTGTAAAGGCCTGCAGCCCCTCCCTACCTAATTCCCACCGCCTGTTGGAGGAACATACTGCCCCCTCCCCCGGGCCCCTTGTCCCTGATGAGGATGGTCATGCCTATATCAGGCTTCCTGTGATATGGGGGGTGGTGGGATAGGCAGCCACGGTATTGGGAAGGGCTCCATTGGGCCACTGACACCCACACACACACCCACACACACACACACCACCACCGCCCACCTTGGGCCACCCTGGGGGACAAGTCGAGGTTCAGGCAGCAGGTCGAAGAGTGGAGTCCATCAGGGCCACCATCTGTCTTGGCCGTGACAGGTCCTCTAGGTGACATCCAGGAGGTATGTAGATGGAATATCTTTATGGGAAGAGTTTTTCTTTTGCCCATTTTCAAACAGGAAGCCAAACACTTGTCACACCTGTCCCAGTGTCAGCCTCTGCCTGACATAAATTGGGGCTGAGGCAGGGAGATAAAAGACAGCCTGGACAAGGCTGGTGTGCAGGGGCCACGTGTCACATAGCCAGTAGCACAGAGAGCAGTGGGCTGGCCTCCAGCTCGGGTGGGGTGGAGGCAGCTTCCACCCCATCCTTCTGGCCCAATATCCCCAACCCCTCCCTCTGCTCTCCTCTTGGCCCCCACAAGCTCTTCACCTCACCCCCATCTCCCTCCTCCCCAAGCACAGGGCCAGCCTGGTCACACCCCAGAGAACGCAGCCACCGAGCCCCACGCAATGGGCTGTCCCAGCTTCTGCTCCGTCCAGGAGCCCCGTCTACCTCAGCCAGCAGTTCCAGCACCTCTCTAAGACCTAGGGCCTATGTGACCTCAGTGGGGGCCCAGGGGGGTGGACCCAGGCCTCAAGGTCCTCACCATCCTGCTGGCACCCACATAGCACTTCTACCTTCTGGGGACTTTGTGGGCTTTGGGGTGCCTTCCTGGGACCTGGGGGACCTTGGGGACAGAAGGTGTCTTAAAATAATGCTAGAAAGCACTTGCCAAGAGAATGGAGAGAGAAGCAAGGGATCTTCCGGGACCTGTCCAGTACTCCGCCCTGAGTGTACATCTTGGTACCTGGCTAATCCCACCAAGTGTGGGCAGGGTCCTCCCCAGGGGACGATGCGGGGAGGGGTTACCTGCCAGGCCATACTCAGGAATCACAGTCCCAGGGTCTCCCTCACCGCCCCCCCCCCATCAGTTCCTACCATATGGGGAAGGCCAACCATGTGGTGGGGTGAGGGATGCCTACTGTACCAGGGGGACAGTGAAAATCCTGCTGCTTTTTTAGATGTCCCCAGGTGTCTTGGGTTTGGTCCCCCAGGAGACGGAACAGCCTAGTCCCTGCCAGGCTCACCAGCTACCACTTCACAGCGCCTCATCCCTCGGGAGGTCCCAGTGGCTAGCAGGGGTGTGACAGGCCAGTTCTATGTTCTTTGAGGACGAGGGTTTGGCTGAATGTGTCCTGGAAGAGCAAAAAAGCCTCAACCAGGGCAAACAATGGAGAGCGTGGGGGAGGGAACTTGGCAGGGCTCTGGGAAAGGTGGGGTGGGCACTAGGGCCACTCCCAGGTTCCTGGCCAGGTGCGCTGTGGAGGCAGGTGGGAGAGCTGAGTCTGGAGTCTCCTGTGTGACCTTGGGCCCCACAGCTCTCCTGAGGTTGCTCTGATGCAACAACCAGCATGTCCTGGTGGCTGACCAGGATTGGCCTTTCTCTGGAATTCTGCTTCCAGTCACATCTTTGGGGCTAGGAGGTGCTTCTGGGAAGGTGGGGTAGGTGGGCCACCCTCCTGCTGCCCAGACCCCACCCTGCCCGAAGACCAGGTAGGAACATGTGCCATCCCTCACACTGCAGCATGAGGCTGGTGCAAAGAGAACTAACTATGAGGCAGATGCCTGCACACAGTCTTGGCTCCCTGCGCCCTGGTGGCTGGGCTGGATGTACCTACTGTGTGCCTGAAGCTGCCACAGGATGCCATAAGCCAGCCACCCACCCCCGCTGGCCCTGCACACAGGCCCTACCCACCTCCCCCAGAGCCCAGTATCCCACATGCCTCGGGCTTGGAGTGTTTTCCCACCCACAAAGGCAATGAGCTGGGGACACCACCTCTGGTCAACAGCCATGGATTACGGATGAGGCCTCTGGTGACCAGGAAAGGGCAGGTGCTGCCCAAGGTCACACAGCAAGACGGCACTGCACAGGCTAATCCAACGGCTGCCCAGACTTGGAGGGGAGACTGCTGGCAGGTCCCTGAGCCTGCCCCATCTGGGCTCTGGCAGTAAGTGAATAAAAGCAACATCTCAACAAGGTCACAATGGGACAGACCGAGGACACAGCACTGGGCCCAGGCAAGCAACGGGCAATCCGAGAGTACTCCCGGGAGGAGGTGAGGGTCTCGGAGCCCTGCCTTGGCCTGAGCCCCTCGGCACTCCACCTGCTGGCTCGATGGGCCCCTCACCGGCTTCAGCCTCAGCCTGACATTTCCCGTGACATTTGCTGCAAAGAAATAGAGTCATAAACCCAAAGGTTAAATTTGCACATTGCCTCACACTGCCAGAAGAACAGTCCCTCCACCCACTCGGTGCCGCGGCTACAGCGTTTGTGTAAGATGTCCCACCCATCCCTGGTGCTCGTGCTGCAGGCCCAGCGTTCCCCCTCCCAGTCCCTCCAAGGGACCTCAGTCACAGTTTCCTGAAACAAATTCCTGGGCACACCAGGCCCTGAAGTGTGTCACACAGGGGTCACAGA